CCAACCAGAAAAATCACTGTAAAACTCACAAGTATGGTTAAAGGCACAGAGCGACAGCCATTTATTGTGGCAACTCTTGAAATACAGATGTCGCAGAGATGGATTTTAACAAGCACTTTAACTGGTACCTACTCCTCCGCCACTAGAACGTGTAGACATCATTGAGTAAATACTAAACAAGAGAACGTTTAGATTCAAGTCAGCAGCCATTATGACAAGGACAGAGAAGAGAGTTACCTCTGTAAAAGTAGGAAGCATCTTTGATCACATCACAAACTTATTTTTCTTCTCAGCTGGCTTAAGAATTTGGAAAGAGCACAACAAGTTTTCATCAACACTCATCATAGCACCGGCATTGTCAAACTCTCCACAGTAGTTGGGCGCTGAAAAAATGGTGACAAGCTGCCTCTCGGCAAAGAATTCATAACCATCTTCCACGACCTGCAAAAAAAAAAAAGATGCAAATCAATAACCTCAGAGGAAAAGCACAGCAGGACAAAGAAAACAAGGTTCCTTTACCTGATGGGCACGACAGACAAGGTCCAAGTCATGCTTTGACAAAAACTCAGAAACTTTATCAGGGCCAAAGGTGTATGAAACTCCTCTATCGTTCATCCCCCACCCCTTCACATCTTTACCAGGATCTGACCAAAGTAAATCACAAAGCAAACCGGTATCGGGGATGGAAGTTGGACGTGGTAAGTTTCTTATCTGATCCAAGCTAGAAAGATCAGGCGAGAGACCCCCATGCATGCATAGTATCTTCTCATCAATAAGTGCTGCCACAGGAAGACAATTGAAACAGTCTGTAAAGGATTTCCACAGTTTCACGTTGAACCGGCGCTTACATTCGTCATAGAACCCATATATCCTATTTATTGAAGCACATTCATGGTTTCCTCTAAGCAGAAAAAAGTTCTCAGGATACTTAATCTTGTAGGCAAGCAAGAGGCATATTGTTTCCAAGCTCTGCCTGCCACGATCTACATAATCACCTAAAAATAAGTAGTTAGCCTTCGGAGGAAAACCACCATATTCGAAAAGCCTCAACAGGTCACTGTACTGCCCATGAATGTCACCTGAAACAAGATAAAGAAAAAACATGTAAATAAGGAGGAATTAACACAGAAGGAAACTTAAGTGAGAAAAAGGCAATAGTTAGCTTACCCTCGACTGTATTAAATAACTAAATCTGGTTCATTATATATTAAAAAGGCACAACTTTTTGTTCTTACTTCATTACATTGGAGTATATCTGATTTACCTAGCTCAAGTAGTTCAGTCAATTTAATAATCACGAATTTGCATATCTCACATCAGACACTCTCACATACTTCCGCACTGGCTTCTTATATAGTTGAATCATAGCTCCGTTTNCCCACAATAAAAAAAAAACCGTCTTCCTTTGGGACAAGTTCACCATTGTCAGACCAAGTAAGATATTGTGCAAGTGCTGTGATGCCTCTTTAATCCACCACAGACAATTTAGTCCGATCCCAAAGTCACTCATTCTCTATTTTATTATAGCAGCTACCATCGATGGGTCCTCAAACTGCTGCAGGTTCCACGTACACTATATGTAGCACCAAGCTGATCAATCCTGATTAAAGAGTAGACCCCATTTTATTTGTTGAGTAACAACAATATCAGAAACTGCACTACCATATTGCATTTGGTAGGTTATTTTCGTAGCAATTAACTGTGATGGTCTTCTCCATGCAACTTGTGGACCAAAATTGTCATTTGGCCCGTTGATTCAATAACACATACATATCCATTAGATTGCTGGGAATTAGGTCTGCTCAAGTAAAGGAGTAGCAGAGAAAATGTAAGGGAGAAAAGCCCATGGTCCATAGGGTATCATAGAGATTTGGATGTGTCTTTACCCTAGTTAGAGTAACATCACTAACCAAACTATTCAAAGTTTATTAAGGAGAGGAAATATGCCCAAAGGTTGGAGGAAGAGTACCTACTTTTTGATTTATCAGAACAAAAATGATATTCAAAGTCGCACAAACTACTATGGTATTAAAATTATGAGTTATATGACAGACTTGGAATAATGAGCATAAACTTGGGGACACTACAAGGTGACGAAGAACCACAATAGATTTATGTCTACATTTTCACTAAAAATAATTATGGAAATTTATACTAATAGGAAGCAACTGACATAATATTTAGTGATGTAGAGAAAGCATATGACGACGCGTCACTAAAAATTCCTTAGTGGATATCTGAGAAGAAATGAATTCCTTTCAGAATATAAATGATATAAAGGATATGTACAAATGAGTACTCACAAGAAAAGTGGGAGGAGATGCAGGACATGCCCCATAAACATGAGTTCACACCCAAATCTGCCATCAACTCATACTTGTTTTACCCTAATTAGATATGAGCTAACCAATAAAATAGAGGACGAGGTTCCGTGCCGCATGCTATTTGCACATAATATTGTGTTAATTTGCAACTAGCAAGGGAGTCAACCAAAAATTTGGAGATATGGAAAAGCAATAGAGACAGGGTTTTATGGAACTACAAGACATAATAAATGCACTGCATGTAGTACCCATAAGAAGCAGCTTTGGAGGACCATTCCTTTATGCATCTTCTGGACCATTTGGGAAGAAAGAAACAATGCTTGCTTTGAGAATAGGAGGAAATCTCTAGAATTAAAAATAATTGTATGCAAAAATTATTTTTTTGCTGTAAACAACATTTAGACATTTAGTTGAGAGTGTGGATCAGTATTTAGAGTTTTTGGATTCGTTAGCAAACTTGTAACTGAAGTTCTGCTGCTGTAGGTGTTTGGCTGCTCTTGATGTAACCTTTGTACCATCTTGGTACCTTTATTAATAAAATCTTTACCTTATCAAGAAAAAAAGTACCCTTAAGAAACGAAGTTAATTTGTTTTAGTTCCTCTTTATTAACCCACCTAATTTTAGTTTTCCTTTGTCTTGATATATCATATTTTATTTTATTTTTGATTTGCACCGGGTGTCCGAGTCTCTAAGAGCCCCGACTAATCCCGGGGGTGCACAGGCCTTCGGCAAGGAGTTTCCCGCAAGTGCACCACGGTTAATTCAGGTTTTACCCAGTCCGATGGCCCTCAGAAATTGTTTGCACCCAGTGGGTTTCGAACTTGAGACCTTAAAAGGGAGCAAACACCAAGGCTCAAGTCAATTGCCACCAGGCCAACCCCTGAGGGTTGATATATCATATTTTATGTAACAATCTAGTAAATTGTTGTCGAATATGAGCCTGTAAAGGCTGAGTCGATTCATTTTGAAGCTTTAAAGACGAGCAGGTCATCCATTGAACATTGGTAAATAAAAATTACCAATAAAAAAACATTGGTAAAAGTCAAGGCACAACAATGAACATCTTCCTCAACTTCCTGGGTAGAGAATAGGAGAGCTCGAGAATTACATAAAGATTCAACACTGTCAGTTTACCTGTGTAAATTCCACTTGGCAATAATACCATACCCGTCCCTATGCCAATCTTAGCCTCATGTCAATCGACAACCATCACAATAAAAGGAATGTGTGCTTGACTATCCATTTCTTTTGGAGAAATGTTAACTACAAATGGCACAATACAGAGAACCACCCTAAGTAACCAATCCAGATGAACCACAGTAAGATTTCAAATGGACATTAAAGGCAGATTCCTTCAGTAGACAACACGAGACGATTAAAAACAACTCAAAGCACCCTCAATAAAACTTTTGAGCCATGCACTCGAGATACATAAGCTCGCTCAGACACAGAACTTGGGAGGAAATCCCATCCTCGTCCTACTGGAGACATCTAGGCAACCACTGGTGTGAGTGTTTTCTCCACCTTCTTTCTCAGTATGTATTATAGGTCAAACCTGGTAAATTACCACATCTGTATTCTATTATTTTTCTTATTTATTTTGACAAATGTATCAACTATGTTCTTTTTATTACTTTGGCTATCTTCATGAAAATCACTAACTTGAGGTGTCATATTAGGTTCCAGTTCGCCAGAATCTGGTGCAACAATTAAAATCCTTAGTGATTTTTGACAAGGTATCAATTGAACTGTACTCCTCAAGAGTTGGAGAGCACAAGACTCAATCAACATCCCCATTCGGTTTTGCGAGAAACTATGGTCACTGTTCACTCTTGTCTCCATGCTGAGGATGATATCAAATGAAAACTGCTGCAAAAGCCAGTTTCATGGCTTAACCTGCAGCAGAACAAAAGGATCGCAACTCGGTCCCAAGTTGGCATCTACCTCTATTGGCGATCCAGTATCATCCCTGGCTTCAACAACTAACAGACGCCAAAGTTTAATTCCAACTAACAGAAGTCAAAGCTTTCAAATGACATTTCTGATGACGGCAGAGAGAAGTTATTGTTGCTCATCTGGTCTTCTACTTTTAACATAAATATCACTTACTAGTTTTTTTTATTTTTTATAAGTAATCACTTACTAGTTTTCTTGGTTTAATAGTAAAGACTTTTTTTATATCGGTAATGCAAAATGTAGTGAGAGTTTTATAATTTTTAGTGTTAAGTTAAATTTTCTTATTTTACATGACAAATGAGGCATCCTAGTAAATATTCTTATGCGTCTTTTTTAAAACTTAAGCACTGCAAATTAACTGAACCTAACATATAACGCCGTAAAACCGAGAAAATTGGGATGGTTCGGGAAAAATCTAATATTAGTTATATGCAATATATAAACCAAAAAATCAGCATCTTCTCGAAACAACAGTGACACCCCTTGTTTTCGATAGAGCAGTGACGCCCCTAGTTAAATGCAACTTTAACCAATGACTTCATATTTGACGAATGGAGTTTAAGCAACATCTCTAATCTAACTGAAGGAGTAATCCGTGCACATACAAAAGCTACTTCAACATGTCACTTACAAAAATTGAATAGAAAGAGGTCTATGAAGTCAAAACTGAAACCCGTACAAGTTAACACTAGTATACTGCTTCCCCCAAAAAAAAAATGTGTAGCAACAGAGAAGAACAAAAAAAGCATGATGCCTGCCATAGTTTTGTTCCCCTAACGCGTCTAAATAACAAATAGGACACAGAATGGCAACTGATAAAAAGATGATGAGCTGTTGATTAGAAAATGGTAACCTACTTCTGATGAAAAAAGGGAAGTAGCCAAATAAGGAAATCTCCTGATGAAAAAGAGCAGAGGTAAACAGCGAGGACTTATAGCAGTGGCAATGGATCACCCTCCAGTGGAAGGTATACTTAACGTAGATAGTGGATCTTTTCATCGTATTATAACATTATTCTTCACTTGGATTGCCAGAGGCACCAAATCCCTAGAGGAATTCAGCTTCAGAGGTGGTGGTTTTTCCTCGAAGTAAACCATTATAGTTTTATTCGAACTCGTACAACATCACTTTGAAACCTCAATATATTCTAGAGACGGCGTCCTAAACATTAGGCCAGAGCAAACACATTTTGCAATCTGCATGATATTTTCTTAATACGTCGTATTGGATTAGTATGATATAAACATGCAACATTTCAAACACAGCAGAGCTGCAGAGTTGACCAGAACTTTCTCTGATAAATCTCCTTTTACTCAAAATATTTAGGGTAAATTAGAATCTGCGGGATTCTAGAGTTATCACGTTTCACCAGACAAAGCATGTAGCATGTTTCAAGAAGTAAGTCATGGATATACAGACTGACAAACATCAAACATTAGAAATTACAAAATAAAAGAAAAAATACTAGCATCTTCGTTGCGCCTTTTTTTAACTAAAGCCCACACTTTAATGGCGTTTTTTGCTTCGAGCCTCGATAGACTTGGAGCGCTTTTTAACACGATTGCCTAGACTGACAACCTTTCAGTTTCATTTTTCCTTCTAAAGTTAACGGGATCAAAGGGATTATAGAACAAGGTTCTCAGTTCTAAACCTACCTAATACTTAGAGAGAAACTTCGAGCAACCATAGAGCAAAACTCAATAGAGTCAAAACAAAAAAAAAACAGAAAGGTGTATCCAGCCAGTCAGTTGATACAAAAGTAAAACGGTGCAATGTTTTTTTCTTTACAAGGTAACAAAAAGTTATACAGAGCAAGGGTTAAACGATATCTCACCAAGAAATGCATACAGTTCCAATATATAGTGGTTAAAGGGAATAGTTAGTACCGCAAATTTTGATGGGTGCTTCAAGTTCAAGGAGATTGGGTTGTTTGAGGAAGATATCACGAGAGGCAACACACAGTTGCTTGATTTCAGACTCGGACAGCTGCACCAATTTGCCAGGCTTCGATGATCGGACTTCTATTAGCTTCTCAATGATCCTATCAACTGCTGCAGCGTCCATTGAGAAAGTGGGTATCCCCCTTTTTCTGGGTCTCTCTATAAATCTCTATGTATGAAGGGTTTGATTTTTCTACTGTGAAAGGGAAAGCGAATGCTGGGAAAGGAGGACGCCCAAAATTACTTTTTGATTTTTCTTTTTTGTTTGCTCAATCCAAATTTGACTTGACGGCTGTCACTCCAATGTGGCGGAGTTCAATCCATTTATTTTTTTTTTTCCTTTTTATTCATTCCTCCATATTTTCAAAAAAAAATCATGATTGCCCCAATTTAGAATGTACCAATTTTTTTTAAACTAATATACAATATTTAGGTAACTTCGCGTACATTTTTCTTCTCTGTCGTTGCTTTTTGTTTGCTGTTGCTGCTTCTATTCTTCTTTTTCCTTGTATTAAAACAAAAATTGAAACTTTGAGTTGGTACTTTTAGATTATGTTAGAGAAATCAAAACCTACTGTTATTGAACCTAGGGAAAGCTTGTTCGATGGTGACCTTGTTGAAACTAATAAAATAAACTTTTTGAGAGATAGAAGAACTTCGATTCGATTGTGGAGTTAGCATTGAAAAAATAGAAAAAGTTTAAATCCTGATTCTAAAGTTGTATTGGAAAGATGGAAGAACTTCATATTTGATTCTGAAATTGCATTGAATAGACATAGAAGAGCTTCAGATCACATTTTGAACCCATAAATTTATAACTTCAAATGTGAATTCTGAAGCAATCATATGCGAATTCGGAAATGCATTTTGAAGTAGATAAATTTTATAAATTTTTGTACAATGTAGGTTTGACTTTTTTTGGTGGTCCCAAAATCGAGTATATTTGTACTTATATCGTATTTACTCCTGTGTTTGAAGTTTGACCATTATAAATTATCTATGGGCTGACCCATGCGCGGGCCCATATTTTAATTATTCCTCTTCATTTAGCCTAAAGGTACACCTTTATAGCAAAAAAAAAAGTTTGAAAAAATTAGTTGGGTGGGATATTTTTTGGGTCGGCTATTGGAGTTTAGCCAGATTTTAAACTGTATTGACAAATTAATCACTCTTTAATGCAAAATATAAGTTTAGACAAAAATACCCATACATAAAGCACGAAAAATTCGGGACGATTACTCGAGTTTAAAAAATTTATAGCTCAAAACTCTAGCAATTGTTCCTGGATTTGAAATGTACAATGAAATTCCAGGAAATTCATGAATTTTAAGCTATTATTACTTTGAGCTCCAGGAACTCTCTTGAAGTTTGAATGCATTGTCTTTGACTATTGCTAGTGCGATGAGGTCATATTGATCATGCGAATAAAATAAGTAGAATATTGCAGTGAAGCAAACTCTAAGCATCATCAAACGTCAGTAAAGTTGACAGGTTTATAATTGAATAGTTTTTTGTTTTTTTGCAGCTTTTTTCTCACCCCAAATATTGATTTTATGGCCATGTTCCTCGGTAAGAAATCTAGCAAGTTTATTGTTCTTTTAGGGAAGGAACTTTTTTTTTGTTTCTTTGTTTTCTGCATAGGCATTGATGCCTTTCCAAAGCAAAATTATTTCAGTATTTGCTGAGTTTCCGTTAGTATATGCATGAAAATTGAGTCACTATCGGGAAGCACAAACCCAACAGTGTGAATTCAAACTTAAGGAATTGTTCCTAAAGCTTGAACAGAAAAAGGTTTAAACTTCAATAACTATTGGTAAAGTTCTAATTACACATGTCAAACTCTAAAAACTAAGCTCAAACTCCAGTAGTTGTTCCTGGAGTTTTTCGAGTTTGAGGTTGTATAGTCCTTATAAGGCTCATATAAAGAGTTTTTCTTTTATCAAGTGGAATGTATGTACAACAATGTAAATTCGGGTCGCTTTAGAAAGTTGGCAAGACTGTCACAAGGATGAGTACGCAATTGAGCTGATGATTTGGAATGTGTATGACTGGTGTTATATGAGCTTATGAGAAGTTGAATCGAATAACAGTATGGGACCATGGAGGTTAAGAAAGAAATTGTGGGTCATCAGATGATATGTCGGTGGTTTCAAGCCAAGTGGCAGGAGTACCATCGACAATCGACTCATATGGGCATTGTGCTATTGTAGTTCCTGGACTTAGATATGCTTGTGGGTTGGATACAATTTGAGAAGGGTGTCATCAAGGATAATTTGTGAAAGAATTGCTAGATGCATTGATGTAATATATTTTATTAATATCTGAAGGTTGTAGAATGAGTCATGTTTGATATCCGTTGTGGATGTAGTACGAAAGGAAAAAGGATTCAATCAGTTCCTTAAGGATGAGGTTGCTTATTAAATTATTTGTGTGCTAATGGAGCACAAGTCATTTGGTGTGTACTGGTTGTACATTAGAGATTAGAGCAGAGAGGACGACTCTCGAGGAGGTTCTAATGGGTTCAAGAATTCAATATGTGGTACATAAGGATTTTCGGATCTGTGTATGGTTAAGACTTGAGATTTTCTTAGATGGTGCTGAGACTTGTAGTATTTCTATGTTATTATTGATTCTACATTACAGTATTAGATGAAAGAAATAGCTTTGGATGCACAGAAGGTCTCCTCGGAGTGAGCATTTTGGTTTGAAGTATTATTGGATGCAAGAGAGGGAATAAAATGGTTATGGGTCTTAGTGTCTGTATACAATAAATTTGCACCGAGAAAATAATATCAAGAATGAAAAATATTACAACAATCGTAGTATTTTATTTCAAATATTTGAGTGTTACAATCTCTATGAATTCTCTGATTGTTCTTTCCAATAGTAAATAAATTCAAGAACTATTGAGTTTGATCTTGAATCTATATTTGTCGCCACGAATGATGATCTTGAATTCAACTAGCACGAACTTTGATTTGAACTCGTACTCCTTGGACCTTGATTTGTTCTTCGTTCTTGAGCTTGAACTTCACTTGTTCTTCGTTCTTGAGCTTGAACTTGATTTGTTCTTCGTTCTTGAGCTTGAACTTGATTTGTTCTTCGTTCTTGAGCTTGAACTTGATTGCTTGAAGCTTGAAACGTATGGAGAAATTTGCAGCATTTGATCCACAAATTCTTTCTTACTTCTTGTTATAACTTCTGGTATCTTTTCTGAGTTATGAAGACCCCTATTTATAGTTGTGGAAGGGAAGAGTTATGACGAGAACAAACTCTTTTCGATCAATGAAATTAAAATGTGACAAGGCCGCATTTGATTTGCCAGAACATGTCACTTGCATATGTGGCGCGATTTTATTGGCCTTTTAATTTGACTTGGCATGCCTTGTCATTTTGACATGTGGCATGATCTTATTGGCTCTTCCATCTGACTTTTGTGCCATGTCATTTCACACGTGGCGCCAAGCCGGGCCTCTAGGAAGAAGACATCCTGGGCTTAATGAGATGGGGTCATCACTTATAGCCTAATAGATTTGGACCTATTTATTTAACCCATATGTATTGGACTTATATAATTGATTCAATTATATTAGCCCATAATATTTATTTGGCCTAATATATCTTGCATTTAAATATAGTCTAAATTATTTAATAAATTTAATTCTAATAAAATTTGCATGCCTACAAATGCCCCCTACTTTAAAGACTTGTCAGGGTGTAGATTTGCTTCACTTTCAAGACGAGGCTTGAAGTATAATATCCTTCTTTCTGAGATCCCTTTTTGGTTGTCCATGCACTACTTCAGAGTAATTACTCCCAAGAGTAGTGTGACATAATTTTGTCAAGTAAGCTTGCACGAGTATCCTTGCTTATTCATGGGGATATACTGCCAAAAGAACCATTTAAAAGTTTCTTGGACCTCCTTAGCTATATTTTTTAACCAAGAAGAGATCTTCTTTCTCAAATGTCTGACATTTTTCATTAAAAAAATGACTTACAATATTAAGTACTCCAGTCGTATAAATACCACGAGGTATTTAATTATAGAGTGATTTTTCATGTGGAAAATTTAATGGTCACAAGCAAACTGGAATACTACTTTTTCATGTAGTCACGTGGGCCTCCACAAATTCTTTGACTATTTTGACTAAAGTAGGGACTTGTGACACCTCTTCATCCTTTCAATTGAACTAGGATATATAATTCTTCTTGGACTCCTATAATTGTCACAGTTTGTATCACATTAGGACTTAAAGTACCTCCACTATTTATTTATAAATAGGGATCCGGTAGAAGGCTTAGAGCCCAAAAACGGTGTTGCAAGAAGGGTTTGAATCTGCCTTTGACGCTTGGAATAGTTAAAGGTAATTTCTTCTTCTTTTCTTTTTAATTTTCGTCACACTTTTTTAGCCAGTATATCTTGTGGTATAAAATTGATATCTTAGTGTAGAAAAGTCCAAATCATAGTCTGTTTGATTCTATAGAAGCTAGACTTTTAGTTCTAGAACATATCCAAAATTTAGAATTAAAATCTTTGTGGATCACCCTAGGTAATTTTTTGAATTTAGCCTTAATTTATGTCATGCTTTTAGATTTATGCGACATCACCAAAAGTTTTATATCGTGATGTAAGAATCACGGAATCGCAAACCATTTGATGTATCAAAAACTAGAGTTCAAGATCTATAAGATATACAAAATTAAGAATTAAACACTTTAAGATCATTCTAGATGATTTTTTGAAGTCCGCTCTATATTCTAACGCACCAACAATTTTAGATTATCGCGGCTTCACCAAAAGTTTTATATCTTGCTATAGGATCTCAGAATCATAAACTGTTTGATTTATCAGAAATGAGAATTTATGATATACAACATATCCGAAATTCAAAATTAAACACTTTCAGAATCATTCTAGATGAGTTTTTAAAGTCGGCTCTACATTCTAACGCGCCAACAGTTTCAGATTATTGCGGTTTCACATAAAACTTTTTATCTCGATGTTGGAATGTTGGAATTGAAAACCATTTTAATTGATAGAAACTAGACCTATAGAGCTTTGTTCTCACCAAAAATCATGGCTCGAGTTATGCCAGATTATTCAAGGCGATACTTTGAACTCAATTTGGGAATCTGACACGCCTTGGCATGTAACTATCTTTCTTGTACTTGTATTTTTTTTTCTACCTTCTTTTTTGTTGTTGAAGGAAAATGGAGATTAGATGCATATAGAAGGAATAATTCGTGGCAAAAAAAATAGAA